GGTTTAACCGCGCCTTGTCTCGTTCATAACTCGAATGGTCGAGTTCGGCAACGTTCGCCGGTAAGTGCGCCATGCTGGTGCTCTAGTTACTCATTAGCCTTCAACTGGTCAAGATCGCTGCCATATCTACTGCTCATTTTTATCAAACTACATAATTTTCCTTGATAAATTACTGTCATAATTATGGACAAAAAGGGAAGAAATCTAAATCTAAGGAGAGAAAGAAATCTAATACTACTGTGCAATTGAAATTGGATTCGTTTTTCAGTAAAAAATAAATGTTAATTCATTCGCATTTCTTTTATTTATTTCCCCTATTATTTAGAAAAAAATTATGATGAATTTTAGTGGAAAAAAATTATTATGTAACTTTGCTATTTTTGAGGATTCATTATAATTATTCCCATATATTCATAAGTTTGATTAGCGCGATTTTGCTTAACACAGTAAAACTCGGGGATTTATTAACCGCATTAATCAAGGGATTGCTGTATTTTTTATAGCCATTCATATTTTGCTACGTCCCTAAAGTGTTGGAATATACCGCATTTACCCTATTAATTTATAAACCATTTAAAATCAGCAAATACAAGTCCTAATATATTCACAGACTTACTATTCAAAAGTCTCAAACCATAATATTCTTTCTACACAAACAGTTTATCACTATTTGGTAGAGCAAGGTCAACTATCATCTTTGACAGGTGTTTCGATGTTCTCACTAGTTTACTTGGACTTTCACTCTGAAGATCTCAAGATTTTTCTGCCAGACCTAGTGTTTTGCAGGAATGTGGTGAGCAATAGTATGACGTTGCTATTTCAACCATCTACGCATGCGTGGAAGTAAGACAAAGCTTAATATAAAGGAATAAGTTGAGAAGTGTTGGACAGGCTGGAATTCTAAAATTCGTGGTTCACATAAAAAAAGCGTTCCGCCTTAAAAATAAACGTTCCAGGCAACTAGAAACAGGTTTGCAGGCCGTCAGAAATTGGCTTCGGTTACGGTAGCTATGATCGAATGAACATTAAGTCAGGCAACACAGAGTAGGTCCCATGCAAGAATGTTAATTGCGCGCGTCACTCACAGATGAGCAAGAGGGATGGATCTACAGAAGGAAATACTATTTACTCCCAACATAATAGTTTCAAATTATATATAAAAAAACATTTATGGCACCTATTCGTTACCTCAGCTTTCAAATTGAGGAGAAACTCATCGGCAGTTGGAGAAACTTCTCGAAGAAAAGGCAATGCACAACAAACAACATGACACTTCACAGTTGACTGACTAGACTCAATAGTCAATAGAGTACTTGAAAGTCAAAAATTTAGCATTCAAACCTTTAGATTCTGTGAACCTTGTGATTTCTTCATTATTAAAACTTTAGAAGGCTCACAATATATCAAGTAAAGTTTTCACTCAATTATTGTCTCCAAGTTTGGGAGCTTTATCTGCAGTTAATTCAGTTACCTCACACACCGATTGCTTAACAAGAACTAACAAGTAAATGGTAAACACTATCCATCGTTCCCGCCACTTTGGCTGTTGCACACGATTGATTCTGCATGTATAACATTTACGATTTATGAAGGTTATTAAAC